GGCTGAGTGTCCGCCTGCCAGTTGGTGCTGGAAGCTTCAGGCCAGGCTGCCTGTGGCTCCTTCCCCAGGCAGGGGAAGCGGCCGTGGGCTCAGGGCACAGCCCTGCCAGGTATCAGGTCATGTTCCTGCAGAGCCCGGCTTGAAACACAGCTCTCCAAGCTCAAGTGTTAGGCCAGGTGTAACTTTAACTGTGGGAAGTTGGTTTCCGTGTGGCGTGTTTTCATCCCTGTGCCCTTTCAGCCTCTCTGAGGAGCTTCTGTCTCATGGCATCTTGGAACCGCTGAGGGGCCTGGTGGAAGGAATGGTGGTGAAGGAAGGCTCCTGCAATTACGTGGCACCCCAGGGCATGTCCTCGGTTGTCAAGTATTATTTAAAGCAGTCAGGTAATTTTTTAGATGCCTTTGCATGCAATGAAAGGTTTTAATGGTTGTGGTTTTGATGGCATTTTTGAGCCGTCCTTCAAATTTAAATCTCCAGTGAGAATGTTCAGGTTCCTTGTTTTTTTAATGTATGTCTGGAAGTTGATCAGATGGGTAAACATGTCTGTGCTTTGCTGAATTCAGCCTCCTGCTGGCATATAAAAATCTCTCTCCAAATATGTCTGTAGGCTCAGAGGCCAAGCTTATATTTACACCTTTGGCTTTAGCCTACGAAAGTCAGACCTAAGACAGTAGGACAGAGATAATTTAGTGGGAGGAGGATAATTGTTAACAAGAGCTGATCAGCTTTTCAGCTGATGAGTATCCCCTGTTTCCGTGTCTTACGGTAGCTGTTAAATTGATCCCATCTAATTTGTGACACTTGGCCCTAAGACCGTGTGCTTTGCTGTTTGCAGGCCATCCGGTTACTAAGGGAAACTGCCTTTTCTCTCTGGAATTCCCCATTATATGTATTTAACTACTTCTTTTTCCAAACAGGTGCAGATGTCTCCTATGAGCAGCATGTAACTCACATCTCTCTCCGAGATGGGAAGTGGGAAGTCTCCAGGAAAACGGGACCACCGGAGCAGTTTGACATCGTCATCCTCACAATGCCCGTTCCACAAATTCTTCAGCTGCAAGGTGACATTGTAAACTGTAAGTTTATACCTCAAAACTGCAGGTAGCTGCCCTAAAATGGCAGTTGAGCATCTTGTATAGCACAGAAACATTTGGCAGTCTGAGCTGCCTGGTAATTTCTGCGAGAATAGGGTGAATCTGGGAGTGGTAGGAGATGGATAACCTCGAGCCCATGTGTCTGGTGCCCCAGCTGTGACACCCTGATAGCAAAAATATCTAAAGAGATGAGTTGATTTTTAATCTGATCTTTCATTTTTTGCTGACTTCTAAAAAAGGACTTGTTTCTGTAGCTTGAAAATAGCTGTTGAATTGAACAAGGTCCTGACCTGTTCCCCACGTGGTAGATTGCTTGTTGCTGTCTCTGTGCCAGGCTGATTTTCAGTGCTGTCCTTGGCATCTATGCAGTAGGGATGACTCAGAGAAGTAAGACCTGAATAACAGCTTCACTGTGGGGAAAATCTCTGAGGCATTTCAGTAAGCCTAAAGTCATACATAGTGCAGGGGAGGAAAAAGCCTGTGTCAGAAGTCTTTGGTTTCTAGTTTATGAGATGAAAGCCTTGCAGACCCTCCAGCTTGTTTGCTGTTTCTGACTGCCCCCTGGGTTTGTATTCCCCAAACATGAGTAAATCTTGGTTAACCTTTAGTGATTTACTGTATTAGCAGTGCCATGGAGGCTCAGAAAGAGCAGCTCAGTGCTGAGAAAGAAGTGTAACTTCATGTCTTATGCCAGGTTCATGTGCGTTGTCCCAGGTGTGAGCCTTCCAGGGCCAGCTTTCCTCTGAAGTCAGGCTGAGTGCCACTCACCCATGCTAGATCTGTGCACAGTCAGTGTGCACCCACAGTGGGCTCCCAGCAGCCTGATTGTGTGCAGAGTTGGTGTGTTTGCCATGAGACTTGATCCTTGAATAGCCACCGTGAGGATTTACAGGGCAGGGATCTTGCTGCGGCTTGAGAACAGATGGCTCTGAGGGTGAAGCAGAAGCCAGGAAGCCCAGCCAGGCCTATGCTGACTCTGGCAGAGGCATTTGAAGTGTGCTGGGCTGTGGATTTACCACCTCAGCTGCAGTGCTGCACCAGTGACATGCTGCATTTGGCTAATAACCTCTCTTTGCAGTGCTGGGGCATCCACATGGCTCGAGTCAGTTCTGGTCAGACAGGGCTTGTTGCTGCTCTGCTGCCAGCTCCTGAAGTAGACAATTTATGGCTTTTCTGCTCTCTGGCTTGTGGAAAACCCACCAGTACTTGAAAGATGAAGAGCTGACTTCAATGTTGGCTCCTGGTGCTAAGCTGTATCTTGGATTTTAACATGTTTAGCTACACAGGTGTGGTTCGGAAGCTCTGCTTGTTGATCTGGGGGCACTAGGTGAAGGTAGATAGAGTGAGCTGCCAGGGTCTACCTGAAGTCACTTCCTAGTAACCAGGACCTGTATGAAGAAAAGCAAGAGGACAGTGAGTGGGAGAAGAGAGGGGGGAAAAAGAGGAGGACAGATGGCAGCAGGACAGATGGCAGCAGGACATTGAACTGCAGCAAAGCATCTTATGGTAGTAAAGGGGAAATTGAGGGCTGATCATGGGAAGTATTTTCATTACAACCTCTTATTCTGTGCCTGAGGAGGTAAATATCCTGTAAGAACAGGATTTCTCTGCCATATGTTTTTTTGTGGTTTTTTTGTTTGTTTGTTTGGAAGTATTTTCATTACAACCTCTTATTCTGTGCCTGAGGAGGTAAATATCCTGTAAGAACAGGATTTCTCTGCCATATGTTTTTTTGTGTTTTTTTTGTTTGTTTGTTTGTTTTTTTTTATAAGCTCTCTCATTTCCTCTGTCCCTTTGCCATAAGAAGTAATGGTATCCCCACTGAATTGTCTTGGTTAGTGAATGTGCTCTTTCACTTCATACTCTGAATCATATGAGCAGGGTAAATGTACTGACATCCTTTTCAGAATGTGTACTATCATATAGAAACATAAAGGTATATGTGTCTGTTTATATGTAACAGGTGGATATTATCTGTTCATATATAAACAGGTAATAGATATTAGCTATAGATAATTATAATAAATATTAGATAAAGATCCAACAAACTAATGATATTGCTCATTACTGGGGTAAATGACTGTGGGGGTGAGTCTGGCTTATCCTGTCCTGTGTCCTTTCAGTGGTGGTTACTAGCGAGTGTCTTGGGAACAGAAGTGAAGGTGCTGCTTGGTGCTCCTTTCTCAGAGTTTTCCTGAGGTCCAGGGCCTTTCCTTGCGTTTCAGGGCCTTCCTCAGTAAGAGTTGATGTCTTTGCAGATTGTTTTACTTGGAGTAGTTAAATCCTTTTGTTTCCAAAAAGTGGGTAGGTCCAGTTCAGAAGATGTAGTTTTAAAGTGTTCATTTCACTTGCTCTTGAAGTACTAGGAACTGCTTTCCACCACATCCTATTCTTAATCTTCTGTGTAACTGCAGCATTAACTTATCTGAGTAAACCCAGCAAATTTTGCCTTCTATTCTCCCCATTTCTCTCCTCTCTCTGCCTGTACCCTGGGTGGAACTAGCCTCCAGAGTTCCAGCCAATTGTTAATTCTTCCCTTTGGGTAGCAGATCTGACTCCCATACCTGGGAGTTCCTTAGCATCCAAGCTGTTGGCTTCTTTCCTTCTGTTTCTCTAAGCTAAGAAGTGAGGGGAAAATAGGTGAGGAGAATGTAACGAAGGTGTTTCAGAGCCTGAACAGGTCTTTTTGACTCGCAGAGGGTCAGGGGACAGCTCTCAGTCTCAGCCTTATGTTGATTTTGGAGCCAAAGCTAACTGATCATAGAATCACAGAAAGGTTTGGGTCAGAAGGGACCCTAAAGATCATCTAGATCCAACCCCCCTGCATGGGCAGGGACACCTCACAGTAGACCAGGTGCTCCAAGCCCCATCCAACCTGGCCTGATGGCACAGATGTTACTGTGTTGGGTGTCACTTGGCCATGCAAGCTGATCCGGCGTGTTGAGCGACTTCCTGCACATGTGCTGGTGCTGCTTCCTCACCCCTAGAGCAGTTCAGTCATTTGGATTCTCTGGTCTTCCAAATCCAGAGACAAAACTTGGTGATTCTAACAGAAAATAGATTTGTGTGTTCCCGGTATGCAAACCAGCAATTCCAGCTGCTCCTGGAGGTGGAGGCTCCTGCTTTTTCTTGCAAACTTGCCCTTGTTGTCAGTTGGGGCCTTTATTGTAGAGAAGGCAGACACTGAAGCTAAAGTAAAGACGTGGCTTGGTGCTTTGGGATAATCCTGACCTCAAACCCTGTTGGGATTTGTGATGAGCAGGGTCAGTGGAGTGAGCCTTGGCTCTTTGCCCTTCTGTGCTTCAGTGTCATCCCTACATCGACAGCTTCCTAATTGGAGGCAACAGGTTTAAAGATATTCCATATCCTCCATAATACTCCTCCG